TTGGAAGCACTGTCTGACGCGTCTGCCTCCGCGACCCGAAAGGAGAAGCGGCGATGGAAGATGAAGATGTCTCCTTGAATGAAGGATGACTATGTTTTTTAAACAATCAACAAGGCATACTCTAAATATTGTGGACAATTCAACAAACACTGCTGATGTCGTAGAAACTGTTTAAGTCCACTACGTATTCAATAAGACAACTTTTTGTTCAAATTTGGATTGTATCAGTATATACCTGTTTCTGAAGCTTACACAGTATGCAATATAATTGCTCATTTTCATTTACTGCAATTGTCTGTCTACTTTCGTCGATCCGTTTCAATGAGCTGTTATTTTCTGTCAAACCGACCAATTGACTCATGTACATTCTTTATCTCTTCGGCAATTGATCCTGACAATTCATCCATATCCGTTGATGCTACTATGTATGTCTTCACCGCTGAGCTCGAATATATGAAGAGCAAGTTTCAGAAATTGCACTAATGAAGGGCAAAGGTTTGGTTATCTGAGTCACATCTTTTCAGCGTAAAGATATTCGAAGTTTCTCAGTGTTGAAATAGCGTTGATTTTGGAAACGTAAAGTAAGGAGGCCTACGTGTTACTGACCAATTATCATTTTTAAATTGCAGTTTCAGAAAACTGAATTATATTGAAACTACAACACAAATCATATGCCATGTTTTGAGCAATCTACCAAAGAATTTATGGTTTGTAATTGCAGTTTTCGAAATATCAACCCAAGGCCAACGCTACTGCAACGATGTTACGTGTTTGCTAAAACAGCAAATGACCGGTAATACAATCAAGAAAAAGTACGTAAGTACATATCCTATATATAAATTTAGAGAGCAAGGCTGTTGTCTAGCAGCGTCAAGTTTGACGTTCGACACAACTACACAGCACGAAAAGATAGGACCAAGCAGTGTAAAACGTAATTGACCCTTGGAGTATGAAGTCAATAGGTTGTAGAGGTGGAAATATACATTCGTTATATAGCATTTATCAGCTCAGTATGTATTGACTTCAAATTGATCCTGAAAGAAATTTCTTAAAGTAATTACATCTATCTGCTTCTCGTCGGAAATATAGGCAACCTCCGCTTTATTAACTATTGAGAAAGGACAGTACAACACAGTTCCTCCTGACTTCCAGAACAGAAAAGGAACAATAAATAACGATTGCACAGGTTCAAAAAATCACTTTGAGGATCGCCCTTCGAAGGGCTAAAGCATCAATGAAGAACTGCTATGATCTGTTAAGGGAGCATTATCCGGCATTGAAGCAACTGCTGCATCTGCATGCTAGTGCTGTCTAAAAACGGACGGATCAAACTCAACTCTGCTGATGTTCATTAAGTTAGTAATTACTTGGTCATAAGACGGACATATATTAGTTTAAAAATATAAGCTATCTTATCCCGGGACACTATGGTGAGTTCACGGATAGCATTATATAACTTCGAAGCTATCATCGCAAGGAGCAATCCTCAAAGTAGAGCATCCTATGTAGAGAAGAATAACGATAAACACAACCAAACAGATGCCATGCCAACGAAATATTACAAAGAACCCCAAGGCAATTAGCAAACCAGCTTATGATATTTAGGATTGAAAGAGTTCCTTACAACATTAAAGGCAACTCTGTCAAAGTAAAAAACTGCTTGACTAAAAAGCCTGAAGTAACAACTGCGCACGAGTATTCAAAGAAAACACAGTATCTTCTGAACTGCGGATAACAGGGTTTACATCGGAAGAATTGGTTAAACTTTCTTTAGTGGTAGGGAAAAAATACCATAAATTTGTCTAATTATTAGGGCGCACGGCTAATCATGTTTTGAATACAAATAATGATTATCGAAGCTAATCGACATGAGCAAATTTGATGGCGGAAATAACACTGCCATAGTCCTAAACAGGAAAATAGTGACATGCGACACTGGTTTATTTCAAGGGCGTCAGTACGATTAGCGCTAATATTGCACATGTAAGTCAAGAAACAGAAACAGCGAAATATATTATGCAGAAAATTAAGTCACAAACTGCAACATTCTTCGAGCGTTGTCGACAACAGTAGGTACGAAGTATATGCAGGGGTGCAAAATCACAGGATATGCTTTTCCCAAGCAGGAACGCAAAGCAAAAAATTTTCAATAAAACCAGTGAAAATGAATCTGGTAGAACAATAAACTTGGATCTCTTATAAATTCCGTAGCATATATACCTAACTGCCCCATCTTCTACTCTGTAAGTTATCAACACAACGGTTCAATATGCAAAGCTGATCGTATTACAGCTCGGAAAGTACAATTGCACTGAAAAACGGTGATATTTTCATGGATTCATCATAGAGCTTCAGGATCTCTATTATATTCAGAATAAAATGCGGGAATTCTTGTGGACAGACTGAATTCAAGGCGATGCGGCCGGTAAAAAGACGAAGAACCAATGCGACAGAACTAGGTTAACACATCTGCCACAAACGGATACCTACATACTACAGACAAACAAAACTGCTTGTGGACGCAAAGTGCGGGGTCACACAGTATGCATATGGGAATGACCCATGGCCGGCTGATGACATTCTCGTTACAGTCATCGCCAGTTCTGCTATTCGGCGACAATGTATTGTCGCTCTATAACGAAGTTCGTTGTAGCCAAGAACCACATCGTATTTCCGGATAATTGGCTCAACTCCATTGACAATTATGAAGTTATCCCGCAAATATGCATTTATTGAGTTTTCAACTGGACATACACTTTAAAAAATGTTTTTTGATCGTTTCCCTGGAAAGGTCATGAAACACAAAGTAGTTAAACGGATTTACACAGCAATTAGAAGGCGTAGCGGGTTCTGATGTCTTCCAATTTTTTCATCACCTAGAAATAGCTTGTAAATGAGGAGTAAGATACACAACAATTTTATACCTCTGATGGATTTCTGTCTAAATCTTCAGAAATCGAGGCCTGTTTCGAAGGCTCCAATAAACTAAACTGCTCACAAAGGTCACCATCAATGACGTTCTAAATTCACAAAAGAATGTAGAACGTAATGGAAACGACACTGAAAGACATCATGTAACAAATCGACGACCACCCTACCTTGACGGGTCCCATGTACGAACGGTACATGAGGTGATCGCGACCGCAAAGGGGAGAAAATTCAGACCGCATGTGCATTTCGAGATGCTGGAAAAATTCGTGGTCCTAAACGTTTCAAAGGCTCAATATTCTCGTTGACTTCCAGTCGCTGCCTTGGCGGTTATTACCTCTCGCGACGTAAAAGGCACAAGGGCGCCAATTGACCCCGATAATGTCGTGTAGGTCAAGGTTTCGGAGCCGCCCGGAATCAGATTTACCTTCTGAAGACAGGTGATGGTCTCTCCGACGTGAAAAAATGCAACGGTATCGCTCTAAAGCCAGAATCAATTATAAGTATATACCCTTAATATAAAACAAGTAAGCTTCGTAAAGATTACCCGAAAGCGACAAAATTCCGATTGGTAACAGCTTGATGGTCACTGACTATCGAATGCTATATATTTCCTATATCAAACATCATCTGATACCTATATCAAATGGAGATTAATATTTGCTAGACTTAAAATTGCAAAAGTGCATAAAGCGTCACAAACAAGTCTCTCACAAACCTTGAATACTGTACGGACGATATACTGGCCAGATGAACTTCATTGCACTGATCAACATCGCGAGCAAAAGTATGAAAATGTTCTCAAAATATCACTAATGTTATTGATATATCCACTGGCAGTCCTACTAAAGGCAGGAGTAAAATGCCGAAGGATCTGAACGGTAAAAGAATGCGCAAATGGCGCCAAACGAACACAGAAATGCATGTACGTCGGACAGTCGAGTGACACCTATACCGTTTCCAATATCGATGCAAAGGAAATTACTGAAGTTCCAAGAGGGTTGGTCGCCAATATAAAGCTTAAACGGACACGCGACAATGATAAAAGCAACCGCAAGAGAGAAAGCGCAGACAAAGCTGGCACGTCTCTTGCGTTCCGTGGGAGTAGGTTTCGGTCATACTAAAAGACCTACCGTGCAGTGCCAGTGTAGGAGCACCCCGTGGAGCAATCGCCAGAATTAGCAAACCAACCATTCTGCGCGCAATTTTTTGTATAGGTGAATTATTCCACTGATTCAGCTGAATCTGAACCGCAGTCAAAGGAAAAGCACATCCCACTAACGTCAACGTTGCCATTTTAGAGATTCCGCTCGTCGCGTAAAGCGATATGGAGAGGTAATACTTTCTATATTGTTTTCTCAAGGACAATTTCCTAACGGGTATCGTTAACTTATCGTTAGTGCAGTATTTTGATTTTCCTTGTCCGTTACCAGTTGCCGTATTACATTTGCTACACGTCGACGATCAGCGTTAGTCTGGTAAAAATATTTCACTTTTGTCTTCTGAATTCAATCGGAGCAACATTGTCGATAAGTACAGACGTCGACTAAAGCGGACTACAGCGGGATGTACAATATTGAGCGCCAACCTTAGCCTTTGAGCCAAGGTAAACTCTGATAAGGTCGATGCAACAAAGATCAGGCAATAAAGGCTCACCAGGAAAACCATGTCGCGCGGTGGCACAGTGGCAAAGAGCTCGGTTTTGAATTCCGGAAGTGCAAAGTTCGAGTTAAGAAAAAACGATGTATAACTTAACAATGAATTGCTTTGAGCGGACTATTTATCCATATTTATTTGACGCAAACAGCCTAGGAAAGGGTAGCAAACTACTGACTTGTGAACGACAGGAGTAGCATGGTATTCTGGTATTGTCATAACAGAATGGGCGAAGCGTACAGCCATGCTGCCTGATGCGAGCGACTCTTCTGGTTGCACTATACTTTGATCCACCTCAAACAAAAAAGCAAAAACCCTAGCGATGCTGTGGTGACCAGGAACGAGAGAAATCATACCCCTTTAAAACTACTATCTCTAGATGAAGGCTGACCGAATCACATATCCGGATGAAATCACTAGGAACCACCTTATGCATTAAACATTGAGAACAACGTCGTGGCAATACGTTAGAGATAGTAGGAATAAATAGGAGGAAAATTACATTTTCTGTACCGCAAGGGGAGTGAAGACCTCAAAATCTCGATCCAAAGACAGTTTAAACATTTTGCAAGTAGTCTCATCCCTCTGAAGGGCAGGCGACAGGATACTATCATGTGGGTGGTTATGGCCATGTCAGTGGTTGTGAAACTATATTTAAATTAAGAGATGCAGCCCGTCAGAGAAATTTTATCAGACCGAGAGAAAAAACTTCTTATGGCGGTTTCTTTTAGCAAAGAAATGGAGAATATGGCCAAGGTTAAGACTTAAAACCAGAAGAAAAGGCATGTTGGGCAATTCGTGCTGTGGAGTCTTCAAATCCAACCCAAGAGCATACTCGATCAGCGATGATTAGGGATTATTGGTAAACTTAAACAAAGTGCTTCTTCCGCAACCCAAGAGGAGTAGCTTTTAAACCGCACGAATGGATATATCGTAACAGGCAAATTCACACACCTGGCAACGGTACAATCGCTAAAACGAAATTAACCTAACTTTAACATAAACATGGATACCTTCTGAGAAGCGCCGTTCAGCAGACCCTTGTCCCAAAGAGCTCGTATGCCCGTCGGATCCTCCTGAACGTCATCTGTACAACCGCTTTGCAAACGAAGCTAGAAACAAAGGTATGAGCAAAACAAATAAAACAGAAAATTAAAACGCTCAAAAATTTACTATCGCTATGTTTCCAAATTTATCAGCCACTGCTACGGTGTTGAAATCAATGAGACACGTGGCGGTACAGAAACGCTGGTGGGTATCGTCGGCAAAGATGATCAGCTGATTCTCGTGCTGCTTGTAACGAACGAAGAATACCGATTCCTGCACGTCGCTGACATATATTCGTTGGCCCATAGACATCAAGTTCGTTATAAGGTAAGGGATATGCTGAAAAGTCAGCAAATCAGATGTACAGTTTGCATACAAAACCCTAAAACGACAGTTCGTCAACATAACGTAGAATACGACGTAGAAAGCCAAGCTTCCTGTCAGAAAGTGAGCAACGACTAGAGCACAGGAAAACATGATGGGGGCAAGTACGGTTGAATGCCGTGTTCATCTACTCAGCCGCATCATAACCCGCAAAAAGGTAAGCTGACGAAATATGACCAACGGAAACGACGAATCTTCTGAAATGAATCAGTTTATCAAAAGATGTTTTCGATGCGAATCTGGACCGAACAACAACGGATAGCATGATCAGCGATCCACGATGAGAGGATGATGGGCATTATGCCACCACACCGCAAAAGTAGAAGTAGCGCAGGCACAATTCCACTTTACATGATATTATGGTAGTGCGCCCTATACATCTATCATTTACGCCGGGTAAAGCAATGGCCTGTTCATTAAAAATATATCTGAATGAGCTGATATCTTGCATTTTAATGGTAGCGTCACAAAGAAGGCTTGGATATCTGAATAGGTTGATAAGCGTATGATTCTACGATACCGAAATTGAAGAATTATGGCAATGCCACCTTCTTCGAAATCATAGGGGAGTCACTTAAGGAGGTCATTGCTAAATGGCATGACCATCTCGCATAGGTTTTACTGATAAAGCAATGCCTATCTCAGTAACAGCGATGTTCAAGGAACCGGTACCTATTCGATCAATTATAAAGCAGCCTTCTTTGATTGAACAATGATAGTTAGTGAACCGGCGTAAAATGGGCTCATCATAAGTTATGAACAAAAACTGTACCGAAAGGTCATTGCGAGCATGCTTCTGCAGCAACACATAAAACAGGATTATTCAAAGTGTTAGCTCAACATTATTAAACTAGCAAATTGGCGAATGAAATTAAGGATGTTCAAGCAGCGCAAATATCTCCGCATACTCGCAGGTGGCGTCCACGCAACTACGGGATTGTCATCACTGGAAATCTTTGTCATGGATAAACTGCTTCATGACTGCTTGTTCCATTTGCTAAGTCAAAATTGCCTTACTACACTTAGCAATTAGCGTCGATGAAATTTCAATGAAGACTGGACACATATGCACATTTAATATTTAACCTCGAAACGAAAATACTTAGTACGCCATTAAAAGCGAAACAAAAGACCATTTCCATTAGGTTGGGCTTTTGGTTTCGATCGCTGCTGCTTTCAAATAATCAAAATAACGCAGCCGTCAAAGACTACAGTGACAAGGAATTAACCACTACTGCATTAATTACATATGCAATTTTCTCAGTACTTGTACTTGTTTAACACAAAACCAAAGAATTTAATATTTCCTAGCAGCTAGTGATCATTCTTTTTTTCAATCTTTTCAGGGATTTGTGTTCCCTTTAATCATAATTTAAATTCAGCGGAATACCGGCAAAGACCTCGACAAGAAATCGCAAGTCAGAGTGCAGCATTATTTAAACATGTGAAAACTGTCATGAACGCTAAAACGAGTGACTGATGAAGAAATGGTAATTAGAGGATGGCACCTTATTACTATGAAGTGAATAGGTCTAATAAAGAAAACTCTGATTGTAAACTACACAGAAAGATTTTAAGTCAACATCTGAATTCATTTCCAAAGAAAGCGTCATAAAATCTTTTCATCTTCCTGTTGACTCTTTTAATTTATACAAAGGACGATGACGATGCACAGAAGATCTGAAGGACGCCTAATGCCCCTGTCATTATATGTGATGGTTCAGTTGCTGACGATGCATATAAGCCTTCACGGCAGCAACAGAAATACGACGACACTAAGCGGATATGCACCTTGTTGGAATGCTGTCATGTGACATTCATATCAACTGACAATGAAGTTACAATATAGTGATGAAAGATACCTTATTTTCGCACTTTCTAAGCAGCTTCTTCTTACCGAGATCGTAAATTCGAAGTAGCTTGCCGACTCCAATCAG